TTTTGCTGTGAATGTCCCAATTGAGGAACAGGATGTGAAAATTTAAGATAAATGTTCATGTTATATGTTTTGGTTGCGTTTGTGAGTTAATAAAAATGTAGATGGTTTTTTAAAATAGGTATATAATATAATAATATCGATATATCGATCGATATTCTCCTGTATCGAAATCGTATCGTAGAATTTTTTGAAATATCGGCAAATATCGTATCGCTGGGTATGAGAATCGATATCGTATCGTGACGAACCCTCCGATTTACACCCCTAATGTGTGTATATGTAATCATAATTCAGTGAATACTTTACAAATGAAGGTTTCTCTTTTTTATTTTTATTTGTTTGGTTTGTTGGACACAAACTCCCCTAACAGTTGAAGTAATATTATAAAGCGTATGTTATATGAAGTGTTTGTGTGATATGAAGCCCTCATTGTGCTGCGGCTCATGAAAAACTCCTCGGGTTGAATCTTTGGCTCTCGGCGGCTTTCTGACGGCGACACAAACCTTTTTATAGTCCTTATGACGCGCGCTAGCATAGGCGTGCTGAGAGACTCCTGAGGAACGCATGCTAACGCTAATCAGGAAACCATCAAACAGCCAAACATCCCAGAATATCCTGAGGACAAACAGAGCAGAGCCATCAAACAGCGCCGCGGCTTTGAAGAGAGGTCAGCCCTGGACGCCGGTGAGCCGTTAGCATGAGCAAAGAGAGTCTGAGCGCTCCTGCCGATCTCCAAACATCAGCTGCCATTTACATTCAGAGAGACGTTCACAACAATCGGCATTCTGTCGTTATTTACTCGCTCTTGTGTCGTTTGACGCTCTGAAGAATGGCGTTCAGTTCGCAGTGAGCAGAGCCTGAGAGTCCCCTGAAAACACTGAAGCGCTGGAGTCATTTTTGCACTGTACTGTTGAAATGAAAAACTTGAAAAATCATACGTTTAATCCTTCCCTTTTCATCTAGACCTTTATTTTAGTGGTTTTCAACTGGTTTTTGCTTGAGGATCCAGATTTAACGTTGGACATTCAGTAGCAAACCAACAAGAATCTCCT